CCAGGGGGAAAATACCAACAAGTGAGAACAGTGAATTTCTGTTCTGACTGTAATTTCTCTCTCTGCAGTGTGTTATGAGGGAGGAGGGCAGTGCTTGATGCAGCTTCTCATGCTGTCGTTCCCTTGTTGCAGTGGTGATACTGCTTTTTCCTGTTCCTGTCCACCAGCCAGTGCCTGCAGAGGGAATATCTTCCAGCGCATCTTCATTTCAAAACACATTTACCTATTGACCTGATTATTGAAACAGCCTGTAGGGACTGATGATTTTTTATTTTTAATTTTTGATGGGATTTGCCCACTGGGAAGTTGATGATTGCTCATTCAGTTTAGGACACTAAACGGCCACCAGACTTCTGCTTTGGAGAAGATGTGTTGCGTCAGTAGAGAGGAGGATAGGACTGAAATAGCGGACAGTATGTCTCAATGCACAGACTCAAGTTTCTGGTGTTTTCTGAAGGGCTTGTGAATAATGAATCTGGCTCATTATAACTGCAGATCAACAGAGAAGATGCTGATGTGACTTAGGGCATCTCCACAGGATGTTCTGGAGGGGGAAAAGAGGTGACCTTCCTAGGGACAGATGTCTCCCTTGAATTCAAGGTTTCTAGAGCCAAGGACGATCCATCTTTGTTATTTTTTTCCTCCCAGTGAATGCTTGTTCTAAGGATTCAGGTCTTTTGAAGCCCAATTACTTCATGGCTCTCCTTGAGCCCTTTTCGCCTGGCTGCCTGTGGGAGGAAACCTGCTGCTGGGTTTCTGCTGTTGTCCAGCAGCTGGTAACAGGTGGCTGCTCTTGGAAAGCTTTTATCCACTCCCCTGCCCAGTAAAACTCACCTTAAATAACCTTACTGCTGTATTCAGCTGTAGCAATTACCTCTTTGTGGGTGAAAATAGCATGGCAGGGGGGAGCCAGTGTGGTTCTGTTCAGCTTTTGTTAACCCTTCAGTGTTTTTGGAGATTGTTTATTTTACTTAACTGTGGAAATGCCAGCTTGTTCCTATCCCATGGCTAAAAAAACCCACATTTAAAATACCTGCATTTTAAGCTGTTGTAGTTCTTGACAGCCCTGAAAGCAAACTTGCTTTAGAAAAGACACTGATGTTCCAGCCATGGAAAAGTGGTTTTCAGTGTGGGTATCTGAATTTTTAGACAGTGTTGTTTCTAGAAGAGCAGCCATGCAAAGCCTCATGGACTCTTCGTTTTGCCTTTGCAGTGGCCTGAAGATGCACTCCAGTACAGAGCGTGCAGTGTGCCCCCTTCTGCTGTCAGCACTAATGGGAGATAGGATAGCTTGCGTATCTGTCACTGGTGTTACTTAATCCCATAGTTGTCCTCATAAGCAACAGCTTCCAGGTCCTCTCATCCAGCCTGGGTTAAGTGTCCCACAATTGCAGGATGTGCCATGGACATAATTACAGGCGATGGAGGGGAAATAGTTTTTAAAGACCTCTGAACACTTACTTCCTAAGGCCCAACTTTTAAAACGCTTTAGAAAAAGGGAAAAATCAGTGCCTGTGGGAAGGAAGAAATGTTGGGATTTTTTTCCAGTTTTACCATGGGTGTCACAATGTTTTCCGTGTCACAGCTGTGTGTGGATGAAGGGGATGAGAACGCACTTGTTTTTTAGGTGTTAGCACGTGGCAGCTTTCTCTTGTAAGAGTAGCTAGAAATATTTAACGTAAGGGGCATGCGTTAACCACCCCCCCCCCCCCCTTTTTTTTTTTTGTTGGTGGTGTTCTGGATGGACTGTGACCAATGGCTGAGATGCTCTCCAGAGGAGACCTGTCAGAAAGCTCTCGTCTGCTACATCAAAACCCTTTGTTGAAACCAAGGTTCAAATGCTGGTGGGGGAGGGACTGAGACATGGTACGGGAAGATCTGTGGTGTTCCTTTGTGCAAACTGCCCACCTGTCTCCTCCGAGTCCTGTGAGCCAGTGGTTCTCTTCCAGGGACTTGGTTTGGGTTGGTGTCGCTGGGTCCTTGTAAGGTTTGTTTCTAAAGATGGGAGTTTGAGAAACACAAAAGTAGGGGAGATGGAAAGAAACTAATTGGATTGTGATGTTAAGTTTTTGTGGTGTTCTGCAGTGATGAGTAGCTTTGTCTGACCAACACTTTGCCACTGCCAGAGGTGAATTTTCATGAGGTCAGAAATACAAATTTTCTGAGTCTTTTAAAGCATGTTTCATCTTCCTTTATTCATGTAAGGTTGTTTGCTCACTTGAGGCAAAAGATGCACACTCATCTTGCCTTCTGGAGAGAGAAATTGGTTAAAAATGGTAAAATTGTGATACATTTTGAAGCAGGCCAACCAAAATAGGGCAGTTCTGGTAGGGAAGAGGGGAGGACTTGGATGATGGGCTGTTCACAGCGTGATCCCTCTCCCTGCTCAGGCTTACCAAAATTTCCAAAGCAAGTGCTGTGTGCCATGATCGCTGGGAACAAGGTATCTTCCCAAAACCACCCTTGGGTGGGCACTTGGTGATAGCAATGACTGTGGGAATGAAGATGAAAGGAAGGAGAGTGTTACAGGAGGAAATGCTGAGGCTGGCCGTGATCTTCACAAATATCTATCTCCAAAATGCCCTAACAAAACATCACGTTTCTTTTCCACTGTGGCAAGGGCTATAAGGGAGAGAGGCCAAGCAGCTCCGATGCCCTCGAAGCATATGCTCATGGTTTTCACATGTTGGTCTGTGTTGCCGTAGCCAGCCTGAACTGTATTAAGTGCCTCATCCCCAGCTCAAGCATGCTTCAAACCTGTGTCTCCTGGCAATTTCTGTTACAAATGACTAGGGTGGGAAATAAAATTGCATTAATAAAAGCTGTTGGCTCCTTGCATGTGTTAAGCTGCCGATGGGGTGGTGAGAGGAGCCTGTGTCACCCACTGGCGCTGCCTATGCAAGGGTGCAGGACTGGGCTTTGCCCTGGGCATGGAGTACCAAGCATGGCAGCCCTGATGCCCAGCAGCTGTTTTATAGTACATCTCACCACTTGTTTGCATGATAGCAGAGCACGCCCTGGGCATGTTTATCCCTGCAACATGGTGGTGATGGAGGAGATGCTATTCCAACTGTAGCGATGGGAAATGTGGGATCAAGGTGGCATAATTTCTGCTGCAGAGCAGGGAAGTGACCCAGAAGACATCTAATGAATTGTTTATGCTCTATTAACCATGAGTCCCTGAGAATATGACATTATCCACCCCATCCCACCCTTCCTGCCATGGCCTGTGCTGCTCCTGTGCTTTCCATTGCTCGCCATTCCCTTTATTCCTGCAGACCCTCAGTGGTGGGAGTCCGGGGGTCCCCAGTGACCTGGTGGGAGCTGAGGCAGCGGATGCAACCACTGGAGCAAACGCGGCGTATTTTGTCACCTATGATTGCTGTCGACTCCATTGTGTATTCAAAAGTCTAACCCAAGTTTATTTAGAAGTTTAGATGGTGCGGGTTTCAGAAGTCAGGTAATGAGGACACTATGAGGTGGTTTTGGTGGAACTGGGAAAGATCCTGTCCCTGATCCTGTCCCTGTGTTATCAGCAGGAGGAGTTGAAATGCCACTGTCACTAAAATGCCACCTGCAGACCAATGGCACATGCAATTAGTGCCACCAACAAACGAGGTGAGGTCTTACTCAAGACAAGGTTAGGAAGCAGTAAGCAAGTCGGGCTTTCAAATTGGCCAAAGATGGACTTTGCTGTGGCTTACAGTGGCTCTGCCCTGGAGAAATGTGAACTCCTTGCATGGGTTGCTGGTTTTCTAAGAGTCCCCCTGCGTCCCAGGCTTTGGGATTGGGGGAATAAGTAACATTTCATGGTGCTAAGTAGAAGCAAAATTAAGGTTTTTGCTCCTTCTGGAAGACCTGAGCAGCTCCAGGGAGCTGTTGCAGGCTCTCAGATATGAATGCTCAGGGTTGGACGCTCAGTGACTGCATGGTGGAGATAACACCAGGACCTGCTTGCTGGGACAAACAACTTGGCGGCTGATCCAGCTGCAGGTGAGTCCGTCAGCTCCCTGTGGCAGCAGGCGTTGCCCCGCAAAGGAGAGGGCAGCATGTGCAGAGCTTCCCAAGCCTGTTGGGCTGTGCCACGTCTGCTTACATGCGACTTTATAAAGAGGAGGTGCAAAAGCTTTCTCTGCTCCGTCCTGGGGTTTGGTCCACTGTCTCCCCCCAGCACAGCCTCTTCTATGGCTGGCTTGAATGTCTCCATTGCTTTTTTTTTCCTGGTTGTTGGGGTGTGCCAGGTGCTCAGGTGTCTTTCCAAGAGGCTTCTGTCTCCTGGAACGTATGGCTGCCTTGCCAGAGAACTTGCTGGTTCGTTACAGTTGTGCATGAGCTACCTTGAGCTGAGGATGCTGGTGGATATTGGCCCATGGGGTGGTGGCTTTGGCCCAGACGTGGTCTTGACTCTGCTCTTTCTCCTCTTCATGGTTCACGGTGCCTCTTTTGATGGAGCATCTGCCAACCCGACCATCTGTCTCCAGGAGTTCCTGCTCCTTGAGTCCAACCTCGCAGCAACTGCTGCCAAGCTGCTGGCCCAGGGTGCGGGCACAGGTACAGGCTGGGCCGTCACCAAGCTCTATTGGTCCTGGGAGCTGACGCATTTCCACTTCATCCAGAACCTGATAGCGTCAGAGTGCAGCTCCTCCATCCACACATCTCTGCACCATGCTACCTTTGTGGAAGGCACCTGCTCTTTCCTTTTCCACCTTGTCCTTCTCAAGTTGCGACAGAGTCATCCAATGTACAGGGTTCCTTCCCTGGCTGCGACTGTCACCTTCCTGACCTACACAGGTGAGCAGCACCTGCCCTTTTCTAAGTTATTTAGAAAAATACCTAATTTGTGGGGGAGGAACAGTCCCTTTTTCATCTTCCAGGGCTTGAGAAATAACAGTTACCAAGATGTTTGTTTTCTATTTATTTTGGGTAATATTCATTTGGGGATGAAGATGGCAGTTTAGGATACCTAGGCAGCAGGTGAAATGTTGGCACATGAGAAGCCATAGCTTGCCCCGAGACTGGGAGCACTGTCCTTGAATGTCCCCTAATGCAACCCCTCAGTCCCACACTGAGCTCTTCTGTTTCCTGCAAAGCTCAAGGTGACAAAGGTGGGATTCCCCTGTGTGTTGCTATTGCACAGTCCAAACACGCAGCTGCCAGAGCTGGGCAGCAGAGATGCTCCTAGAGCCTCCCAGCAAGCAGGAAGGATCATGGGCCTCCTGGTCCAGCTCTTGGTCTTTCAAAGTATGCAAGCAAGACTGATGGCTATGCTTCTCTTCTGATGCAGCTGGACCATTCACGGGGGCCTTCTTCAACCCTGCCCTGGCTACAGCTGCCACCTTCCATTGCTTGGGGAGCAGCTTTTGGGACTACGTCCAGGTTTACTGGCTGGGGCCCCTCACAGGTGAGATCTGCTGAGGAGGTATGGGGGGCAGGGGTTGGGATGGGGGGCAATGGGCAAGGCAGAAATGCTGGGCATAACACAAACTGTTCCTGGCAAAGGGCTGAACTTGGGTCTTGCCAGTGGCAAGTGTCCTTTTCTGTCCCCCTTCCCTGTCACTTGAGTCATCCCTTTGCTATCCATTTTTAAAATCAAATTTCTACATGGGACACAGGCAAAACTCTCCCTGAGGCTAAAGTTTGGGGGAGGTGAAACAAAGATGTTTTAGGGCAATGATAAGCTGAGCTATGCTATTGAGGTTGTCCACAGCTTCAGGATGACCATGGGAAGCTGAATACATGCTGCCTAGAATACAGAGAGCTGGGAAAAGAGACTGCTGGTGTGGTTTATGGCCCTTTTGGGTCAAAACAAGCCTCGCTATTATATTAAGGACACAATGGTTAAATTCTTGTTAAAGTAATATAGCAAGGGCCTTTTAGATACTGTCAGTGGGGCCTTCAGTGGTACTGAGCTACATTTTAGTCATGATGACAGTTGTGGCAAGGGCCTGAAAATCACTGCTCAGCTGTGGAGATGCTCAATGCAGCACACAGAAGAGGTCCGCGCTCTCATTTCAGGGATGCTCGCTGCCCTCCTGCTGTACCAAGGCAACATCCCACGACTCTTCCAGAAAAACCTCCTTTACAGCCAGAGGAGCAAATACAAGATACCCAAGACGAGGATGGTGGCACATGTGGACAGTGACAGATCACCTCAGAAGAGGAAAGGGGAGAAGAGCGACTCCAAGCCTCGTGCCTGAGCTGCGGATGGGGGCCAAGGAGGTCCCTGCAGCCCCTCTCCTGGGAGTGGGTTTCTTGGTACAGAGGATTTTGCTGCTCATCCCATCCAGCATCCATCCTGCTTGTTCAGTCCCTACCACATGGTGAGAATTTTTTTTAAGCATTGCAAAGGAATCAGCCAAGGTGACCTGGCAGGATGTCTGAATCCCTGAGCTCCTTTGGGAATAGCTTTGAAAGTCTCCAGGGAGAGCCTGAAATGTTTCAAGCCTGTATTGCTAGTTCGGTGAGGGAAAAAAACTAACACTTTTGCATAAATTGCTCGTTGTCTTGTATTGCCAGGAAGCTTACAGAAAGTCAGGACCATTTTGTGGGTAGGCTTGAGCAACTCCCAGGTTATTGCATCGTGCAAATGCTTTGAAATAACCTGGCTGGGTCTCTGGCAGCCAT